AACGAAAAATTAGCCGAGTGTGTCGGAGCTCACCTGCAGTCCCAGCTACTTGGGAGGCTGAGGTGGGAGAGTCCCTTGAGCTCAGGAGGTGGAGGTTACAGTGAGCCGTGATTGTGCTACTTCACTCCAGCCTGGGCGACAGTGAGACCCTGCCTTAAAAAAAAAAAAGACATTGAGGAGAACAACAGGCCTTGGTGACCAAGAGAATGCTTACACAGAACTAAATGTTGGACAGACAATATATATAGCCCATAACAAATCAATGACCCTGAAGCTAGGATTGGGAGAGTGACTTCCCCAAGGTAAAACATGTCTCCTCACAGAGACAGAGTAATGTTCCCTGAAATTCTCTTCAATTAAAGTGTTTTTTTGTCAGCCAAGTGTGGTGGCTCATCCTGTAATCCCAGCACTTTGGGAGGCCAAGGTGACAGGATTGCTTGAGCCCAGGAGTTCAAGACCAGCCTGGGCAACAGAGTGAGACCTTGTCTCTATTTTTAAAAAATGCTTTTGTCATCCAAATCCTGCTCTCTGTGACTTTGGGGTTTTCCCTTAAACTGGTATAGCCCCCTCTGGCTGGAGCAGGTGACATTGTTGTGGGCCCTCGGCTATCTTCTTCCTTCTGACCCAACACCGTCGCCACCAGAGGCAGTCGGGAGGTGGGCACCTTCCTTACTCTTCAGGGTCTCATCCACAACCTGCATCCTACCGGAACTCACCCTTGATGTTTTGGCAAAGCGTTTAGGGATCTTTTTTTTTTTTTTTTGAGTTGGAGTCTCACTCTGTCCCCCAAACCGGAGGGCAGTGGCCGCTCCCGGCCACCGCAGCCTCGACCTGCTGGGCTCCAGCCATCCTTCCGCCTCAGCCTTCCAAGCAGCTGGAAGGCACGTGCCACCACGCCCAGCTAAGTTTTTGATTTATTGTAGAGATGAGGTCTCGCCTAGTTGCCCGGGCGGGTCTCAAGCCCACGGGCTCAGGCAATCCACTCACCTCGGCCTCCAAAGGCACGGGATGACAGGCTGAGCCACCGAGCCCGGCTAGCGTTTATGGATCTTTTATTGCACGAAATTGTCATGTGCACTCAGGTTTTCTGCCAGACTGCGTTGAGTGTTTCCTCGTAAATGCTCACATTATTTTAGGCACCTTTGCTGCATGACTGGTTTCCCCACCCAGCTCTTGATCTCCCCACAAGACACAAATGAGTCAACACAATCTTCGTTGAACGGCCCTCCAGTATCTGTAGAAGGAGGTGTGAGAAATTAAGTAGTTGCTTATATTTGTTTAAAAAACAAGAGAAAAAACAAAACAAAAAATAGGCCCTGCTACTCAGAAGGCTGAGGTAGGAGGAACCCTTGAGCTCAGATGCTTGAGATCATCCTGGGCAACATAGCAAGATCCTGCCTCAAATTTCACCCCCACACACCAAAAATATACTGAAAAATTTTTTTGTTTGTTTTCTGCAGTTTGTTTTTTGCTTGCCTGAGTGGTCTGCTCAGGAAATAGCCTTGTAGCTAAGTGGGTTTTTGAGGTTTGGCTATTTCATGAAGTCGCTGCACCTTTTCATTTTACAGTAGAACAGGTTCCTAAGAATTGCTGCTTGCTTTTTTTTAAAAGAAAGTCTGCGATTCTGCCAAGACCATGTTTACAGATCCTTAGATTTTGGGTAAAAGGACGATGGAGGCATCTAAACAAATTCGTCTTTCTATTTATTTCTATCTCTTTCCTCTATAAGAAGAGGCAAAGTTAGTGAGAGATGGTGCTAAAATATAGGCTTGAGGAAAAATAGGTTTAAATTTATTTATTTATTTGTTTTTATTTTTGACTCAGGGTCTCACTCTGTCACCCAGGCTTTAGTGCAGTGGCACATTGCAGCTCACTGCAGCCTTGACCTGCTGGGCTCGGGTGATCCCTTCCACCTCAGCCTTCCAAGTAACTGGAAGGCACGCACCACCATGCCCTACTAATTTTTTTTTTTAATTGTAGAGACTAATTCTCCCCATGTTTCTCAGGCTTGTCTCAAACTCCTGGGCTCAGGCAATCCTCTCACCTCAGCCTCCCAAAGTGCTGGGATTACAGGCGTGAGGCACCACGTCTGGCAAATTTTATTTTGTTAGGCACATTTTCCCCTAATGAATTAATAAAAAATTAGGTTGGGTGCCTGGGCTTATACATGTAATCCTAACACTCTGGGAAGCTGAGGTGGGAGGATTGCTTGAGTACAATGAGTTTGAGACCATCCTGGGCAATGTAACAAGCCGTCATCTCTATAAAAAAATTAAAAAATTAGCCAAGCATGATAGGGCCTGCCTATAGTCCCAGCTACTCAGGAGGCCAATGTCTAAGGATTCCTTGAGCCCAGGAGTTCCAGGATGCAGTGAGCTATGATCATGCCACTGTACTCCAACCTGGGAGGCAGAGCAACACACTGGCTCCAAAACAAAATTTTTTTAAAGGAAAGAAGTAAATTAAGTTTATTAAATTTTAATAAACTTTTATGGAAGAAAGGATATTGTAAGGGAACAGAGATTATGAGCCTATACCTCTTATTTCTCCAAACATAAAACATCATTTTCCTTTTTTAGGATTATGCTTTAGCTACTTACAGTTAAGTGAGTTAGTTTTGAATGTTTTATACTTTATCAGTAATCAAGTCCATATCTTTAGTTCTGAGATACTTTACTAGTTGGTTTAGGATGTTTCTCACCATATTCTGGCTAGCTTATTGTTGTATACTCCTCTTTTAACTGTACTTAGAATTTAGTGAATACTCAATAAATTTGTTGAACAAATTAATAGATTTTTGTTTTTTTTTTAATTTAAAAATGGTATAATAATTTTAAAAGGCATTCTTAATCCCATCACATTTACATACTTGATTCCTTTTTGCGTTTTGTTTTTGTTTTTGAGTCAGGGTCTCACTCTGTCGACCAGGCTGGAGTATAGTAGCACCATCATGGCTCACCACAGCCTCGACCTCCTGGGCTCAGGTGATCCTCCTGCCTCAGCTTCCCAAGTAGCTGGGATTATAGGCATACACCACCATACCTGGCTACTTTTTGTATTTTTTTATAGAGACGAGGTCTCACTATGTTGTCCAGGCTGGTTTCAAACTCCTGGCCTCAAGCAATCCTCCTGCCTTGGCCTCCCAAAGTGCTAGAATTACAGGTATGAGCCACTGCACCCAGCTGATCTTTTTAGTTTTCTTTTAACTATGTCCATACTTTTACATGACTTTAGTTACTGTAAACTGAAAATTTTGTATTTTTCTAATTGTAAAGCTTTTCCATATTTTATGCTTTAAAATAGCCAAAGTAAACATTGCATTATTTAGAGCAAGAAATTCTCTTAATTCTAGATTAGGATAATTTGAGAAATATCCTCTTCCCAACAGATATTGCCGAAGAATTCACATTCATTGAAATTTGTGTGACCTGGAGTTGAAATTCTTTATTCGGAATATTGCCTTTAGATTGCCTGTACCCAAGATACCTCAAAGACCTTTCCTTTCTTATTGTAATGCTCACCAAAATGGATGCTGCCTCTTCACTGCTCATAATAAACAGTGTTCAGAATCATTTTGTCCTCAAGGAGTTTTGAATAATATTGCAGAACAGAAAGGATTGTGAATATCTTAAATAGAGGAAGTCCAGTTTTCTTCGTGATGGAGACTAATTTTGTTAACATACTATTTATTGAGTTTCTGCCCTCAACGATGGCACGATGATTTTGAGATGTTCTTATGCTGAGTTAAACACTTGAGTGAACTTGCACCCAGCAAGGAGAGAACTTACACGAGCTGAAATGTGGAAGCTTTTTCTAGAAGAGCCTGCCTCTCAGGACCAAAATGCCACATGCACAGCACAGCTTCCTGAAACAATGCCTTTTCCAAGACATTAGTTGTAGAGTGTCTTCTCTCAAAACAGGTTTCAGGCTTTCTGCCCTAAACGTTACACTGTGGTCAGCAAGGTGGTTGACTTTTTTTTTCCTTCCTGGTTGACCAGCGTTGTATGTGGGGAAATGGTGCTAATGCCTGGTCGGGCACTCTCCATGGGGCCACTTACTCCCAATCCTCCATAGGCCAACTCTCAGCCTTTATATCCAGAACCCAGGTAAAGGTCCAGAAACCACTGGGGATGTTGAGGGGTTACTCGGCGACACTTCCCTTAATGGAAGTCAGCACTTCCCCAGCCCTAGAAGAGACACAGCCTGTCAGAAGCAGCTGACTTCGCTTCATCCAAAGGAGAGTTTGAGGTCTACATGGTGGACTTAAAAGCTCTGAATAAGGATGCCTTCTCTGGCCAGGTGCGGTGGCTCATGCCTGTAATCTGAGCACTTGGGAGGCTGAGGCAGGAGGATCACTTGAGCCCAGGAATTTGAGACCAGCCTAGGCAACATAGTGAGACCTTGTCTCTACAAAAACATTAGCCAGACGTGATGGCACACACCTGTAGTCCCGGCTACTCAGAAGGTTGAGGCAGAAGAATTGCTTCGGCCCAGGAGGTTGAGGCTGCAGTGAGTCATAATTGTGCCACTGCACTCCTGCCCGGGCAATAGAGCGAGACCTTGACTCCAAAAGAAAAAAAAAAGCTTTCTCTGATGATTCACACTGACAAGAAACCTTTGGGCAAACAGTCCAGGTAGTTGTGTAACTTCAGACAGTGTCTGTCTCCTTTTCTGGGCCTGACCGAACTTTGCAGAGTCCATGGGGACAAGAGGAAGCAGAAAAGTGTCAACCTGGGCTTTTGTGCTCATTGGGGAAATGGGGAGAGGCAGAATCATCCATGAGACCCGTATTTCTGCGGGTTTTGCTAATGGGTGATGGAGTGGAACAGTCTCAGAGCTCAGCAGACCACACTGCATGTTCTGGTTAGCCTCATGTTTGTCAAAAACGTAAATTGTACCCAGGTTCCTTTGTTGAGAAGGAAGGCGCTAGGGCCCTGGAGTGAGGTGATGACTGTGACCACAGAGGCGGTTACATACTAATTTCCTCTGGGGCTTGTGATGAAGTCAGTAAACCACAGCCTTCAGCATGCTCTGCTTAGGCAGCAGTGGCTTCTCAGTGGTGCCACGGCCATGACATGCATTTGACATACCCTCTTTCAACCCATTCATAGACTGTTTCGCTTGCACTGCAGCATGGACCAAAGAGAAATTCTGCAGAAGTTTCTGGATGGGGCCCAAACCAAGAAAATGAACAAAGAAGAGTTTGCCAATGAATTTCTGGTGAGTGCTGTGTGTGACACTCTCAGGGTTGGGACATACACTGTTTTACTGATGGTGATGGTTCAGCTTTTCTAGACTAGACTGCTCTTGAGGTCAATATCAGATCCTCGGGAGGAAGATGGGAAGAAAACAGACTAAACGTTTGGCTTCTCTGAGTGGTTTGTGTGTCTTCAGGTATTCTCTCAAAAATACTGGTTTTGATTTTTTTTTTTTTTTTTTTACTGGTTCTTTGGAGTTTGGCTAGGAAACCTACAGAAGACACACAACTCCAGATGTAGAAACACAAATATTAATGGAACACCCGAGTTCCTCAGGTATCTGTTGTTTATGCTTCAAATTACGAATTTTAGTTAATATGAAGAGGAGAGAGACCCAATTAATTTTTCATGGAATATTACGTCTCTAGCCTCTCCTTGGAGTTCCACTTGGTTTTTCAAGAGCACCCGAACTACCCACTGCCACATTTCTTTCTTTTCTTTCACCTGTGAAAAAAAGAGAACATGTGTTTTTGCAATGGCAGGACTTCCTTAACTTCTTGAGCGTGGAGAAGTGGAAAACCAGGGTGGGGAGCAGACATGAGCGACGATCAGAAGAGAAGCTGGAGGGCAAGTAGCCTCAGGTTGAGTGGATTTGCTCGCCCCAGGAGCTTTGCAGGACCTGTGGTTATGGGTGCGGTAGCAGCTGGTAGGCCTCATTCACCCTGTGAGCTGGCATGTCAGATAGATAACAGAAGGTGACTGAGAGTGCCTGGCGTGTACTTTGGAATACTTCCCGCTGGTGTTTCAGAGCTATCCGAACTTTAAACTTGAGCTCCTCTGTTGTGGAAAAACAAGGGAGCTGCGGTGCAAAACCTAAAATGAAATCATGATTTTTGTCACCGACCAAATGATCAAGTAGTTGGTATGTTCCTTAATCTCCCCAAGTCTCTGTTTTCTAGCATATAGCTGGAGATAATAATGTATGTCCTACCCGTCCTCACAGGATTGTTGTGATGATTAAATATCAATAGTAATCATTCAGTGTAGTCATTTATTCAGTGCTATTTATTGAGCACCTACTGCGTACCAGGTTCAATTCTAGGCACTGACAATCAGAAGTGAACAAAAAGAACAAAAAACTTCTGCCCTCAGGGAGCTAACATCCTGGTACAAGATAGAAGAAGTGAAAACATTCTGAGAGTCTCAAGTGATTAAGTGACCAGGTGTTGTGATAGGCACTCCTGTGGTCCGCTCAACTTGGATAATATTGTGGTGTCATGAAAAATATGCTCTCACTGCCACTACCCAAGCAGTCTGAGCTGCTTTGGCTGAAGTGGTAGAAGTTCTAGCTCATGTGTCTGTTTAGACATGTGCCTGCCCCAGGACTGGAATTCCTAAGCCAAAGTCACCCAAAGCATAAGCATAAAAGGTGAACTCAGGAGGCTGAGGCAGAAGGATTGCCTGAGTCCAGGAGGTCGAGGCTGTGGTGAACCATGATCGTGCCACTGCACTCCAGCCCAGGCCACAGAGTGAGACCCCCAACTTAAAAAAATAGTGAGCTGCGGGTAGTGCCAGCCTCTGTTCTATTTTGACTGTGTTTTTAGAAGAATGTAGACATTCCTAATATTGTACCTTTTCTAGTTCAGGTGATTATGAACTGTCACCAAAGTCTAGCGGCCACCTCCTACTTGGTTTCTCTGCCTCTTACCTTGCCTTCAATCAATTTTCAGTTCAACACCCAGGCGATTTTTTTTTTTTTTTGAGTTAGTCTCACCCTTGTTGACCAGGCTGGAGTGCAGTGATGTGCTCACTGCAGCCCTGACCTGCTGGGCTCAGGCGATCCTTCCGCCTCAGCCTTCCAAGTAGCTGGAACTACAGAAACACACCACCACACCCGGCTAGTTTTTGTGATTTATTGTAGAGACAAGGTCTCACCAAATTGCACAGGCTGGTCTCAAACCCCCCAGACTCCGGCAATCCTCTTGCCTCGGCTTCCCAAAGTGCTGGGATTACAGGCTGAGACACCGTGCCCGGCCCAATATTTTACTAATACAAAAATGGCCATTTTTTCCTTCTGCTTGAAAACTTTTTAGAGCCTATATTTTCTTTAGCTGTTTAAAATTATGAAACATAATACACATCTAGAAAAATACACAAAACATGTAAGAATGATAAAGCAACCATCACCAGGGCAACTACCACCCAAGTCAAGAAGTAGAACGCAGTCAGACCCCAGAAGACCCCTTCCCCAGCGGGCTCCCCACCCTCACCCACACCCTGTCCTGCCCTGCCCAAGGGATAATCATCGTCCTGACTTTTATATTAATCACTTCCTTGCTTTTCTAGCTTCTGATTTTAAGGACCTTGTTTTTGGGTAGTGATTAAGTGGAACCTTACTGTTCACTGACTCATGTCCTCCAGTGGAAAAAATAGTCTTGTCCTCAGCCCCACCTAAAGTTCAAATGAGACATCCGAGAGAGCGCTTTGGGGGAGTAGGGGAGTGGTGAAGGGGCCCAGGTCGCTGGCTTGGACAAGGTAAATACTACCATTTAACTGGAGGACTTTCCACCTGGTCACGATCCACAGCCCACTTTAAGCCTTTGATGCATTCTTGATTTTTCCGAGGACTGATTCTGTGACCCAAGGCCACTGTTGGCTTAAATGGTGGTGGCTTTGTGGGAATTACCAAAAGGCATCTCTACTTCCAGGTAGATTCCCTCTGCGTCCTCACGCCCTTCCCCCCTCTCCCCTGCAGATCGTGGCTCAGATTCATTCCCCACTGCCCCCTTGGCTAGGTATCTTTGTGCACAACACGCCACAGACTGTCCCCTGTACAGCCGGCTTATACATCCTTGGATTCAACCAACTGTGAATCGAAGTTATTTGGAAAAAAAAAAAAATTTTTTTAAATACAGCATAACCATCTGCCTAGCATTTACACTGTATTAGGTATTACAAGCAGTCAGAAGGTGACTTAAAGTACACGAGAGGATGTGTAGGATGTGCAAATACTTTGCTGTTTTACAGAAGGGACTTGAGTGTCCACAGATTTTGGTATCTCTGGGGATCTTTTAACCAATTCCCCACAGGTACCAAGGGACAGCTGTATTCCTAATTAGATGTGGCAGACCTGCTGTGACAGCTGCTTTAGGTCTTTTCCCTGTGCCAAGAATAAATTCTATAACTTTTTTGTAGGTGGGGCTGCCACCAACCACCCACCTAAGGTTTTTCTACATCCATTCAAGTATTTATTGAGAGCCTACTGTGTGCCAAGTCATGTGCTAGATGCAGGGATGCAATGCAATGTTCTATGCTTTAGTGGGGCTTATTTTCTAAGACATTGGAGGACGTCTTAGAGAGGCAGACATTAAACTGTGACTCTATTAAATATTTAAGGATAATTGTGATTGGGTGAGATGTCAAGGAAACTTCAACATTCATTATCTTATTTATTATTTAAAAAAACCCGTGAGGTAACTGCAGCTATGATTTCTGACTTATAGATGAGGAAACTGAAACTCTGTTCGTTTAATAATTGGTCTAAGCTCACTCAGCTCTTCAGCAATAGAGATGAAATTTAACCCAGATGTGTCTTATTTCAGAGCTTATGAAATTAATCCTAATGCAGGAGTGTCTTCCTTCAGCCAATGACACTGAGTTCCTTCAAGGGCCCAGTCTGAGTTAAGTGCACAGTTAGTGTTGTTTCTATATAACAGAAGCAGCATCATGCAACTACATGATGGGACATTTCTTGGCTGGGCGTGGTAGCTCACACCTGTAATCCCAACACTTTGGGAGACTGAGGTGGGAGGACTGCTTGAGGCCAGGAGTTCGAGGCCAGCCTGGACAACACAGTGAGACCTTGTCTCTGCAAAAATTTTAGGTGGGACTACAGGTGTGGTGGTGTGCACCTGTAGTCCCAACTACTCAGAAGGCTGAGGCAGAAGGATCGTTTGAGCCCAGGAGTTCACAGCTGCGGTGAGTTGTGATCCTGCTACTACACTCCAGCCTGGGTGACAGAATGAGACCCTGTCTCTAAAAAAATATAGAATAATTTTAGAAAATAAAAAAGATAACTTCTTTTTTAAAACAATTTTGTTTGGGATTTTTTTTTTCTTTGCTAATTTCCTTGTAAATCCTGACATTGGTCCTTTGTCAGTTTGTGAGCATTCTCTCCTATTCTGTAGGTTGCCTGTATACTCTGTTGATTATTTCTTTTGCTGTACAGAAGCTTTTTCATTTAATGAAGTCTCATTTATTTTTGTTTTTGTTGCATTTGCTTTTGGGGTCTTTGCTTAGGTTGATGTCCAGGAGGGTTTTTCCTAGGTTTTCTTCTAAAATTGTTATGGTTTCAGGTCTTACATTTAAGTCTTTAATCCATCTTTTTTTTTTAAATTAGAAAACATAGTTTATTTAGAAAGTAAATTAGAGAGAGAGAAAAAGAGGAGATTCACCTCCCCAAGGTAGGGGAGGGAGCCAAAGCTTAAGAAAATGTGACCTGGCCACAGCTCAAAGAGCACATGGCCACACCATAGCTTAGCAAGGCAATGGCCCTTTAATCCATTTTTATATATGGTGGAGATAGAGAGCCCCTGAAAAAGTAAATTTCTTAAAGCTACTTTAAAAGGCTTATTACTGTTATTTTTATGAAACAATATTACTGCAAATTAAAAGAAAATAAACTCACCATAGAACCAACATTCCAACAACCAAAAACAATTTTTTTTTCTCTTTTAATTTCTTTATTTTAAAGGTGTGGGGTGCAATTCAGGGTTAGGTATACAAATGTTCATTATGCAGGTACCGTTGTTGATGAGATGTATTACCCCTCCCCCGGCAGATTCCCTAATCAAAAGTTTTTTGTGAATTTTCTAGTTCTTGTCTGCTTATTAATTCTTTTTTTAGATTAGAAAATATACTTTATTTAGAAAGTAAATTGGAGAGAGAGAGAATGAGAAAGAGGAGAGTCACCTCCCCAAGGTAGGGAAGGGAGCCAAAGCCAGGAAATATGTCGGGCCATAA